AGGCAAGGTGCCACACCTAGTATGCTGGGGAGGGGGTTGTGTTTGGGATGGGTCAGACTGAGCCAGGCTCTAGTACCTGCTGGCACTCTCAAGAGCCAGAATGTGTGTGGGACAGGTCAGGCTGTGGCATCTGCTGGTTCACATGAGAGCTGGGTCAAGGCATGGATCAGGCTGAGCTAGGCTGTAGTACCCACCAGCGAGAGCCAGAATGGGTACAGGCCACTTAGGCTAGGCTGTAGTACCCGCTACTCAGTGCCAGGAGTGAGGGTCAGCTATGTCAGGTTAGGCTGTAACACTCAATGGGATATGTGAGATCTGGGGTTTTGAGTGTGAAGAGTAAGGGAACTTAAGAAACTCTCCTCCTAGGTTGAAGCTCCAGCTGGTTAACATGAGAGTGAGTTTGGGGGCAGGCCAGGTTGGGCCAGTCCACAGCATGCAATGGTAAGACCGAGAGCCTGAACAGGTTATATGACAGTCTGGGTTAGACTGCAACACTGTCCAGGTCACATGAAGGCTGGAGCTAGACTGCTCCAGCTGGACTGCCAAATCCAGTTGGCAAGCTGCAAGCTAGGCCGGGTTGGACAACACCCTCAAGCTCACATGAAGGCTGTGGCTGGGCCATGCTGGGCTGGGCTGCTGTACCTGCGAATGAGAGCTGGGACTGGGGGTAAAGTGGGCTGAGTCATGTTGTAGCATCTGGGAAATGCTGTTCCTGGGGTTGGATCTTTTTAAAGTGGGTTGCAGCACCCACTGGCACATATAAGACCTGGGGCTGGGAGCAGGCCTGGCAGGGAAACTTCAGAGATTCCCCTGCTGGATTCTGGTTTCACTGGTGAGTATGAGAGCTGAGACTGGGGGCAAGCTGAGACTAAGCCACTGTACCTGCTGGCATGCATGAAAGCCACAACTGGTGGGACCTGCCAGGCTCTCACATATACTGGGCAAGTGCCAGGACTGGGTGAAAGTTATTAGGCTTACCACAATACCCTCTGGCAAATGAACGATCCGGGTCTAGAAGTGGGTGTGGCAGGGGAACTGTATGTGAGCACTATTCTGCTAGGACGTACCTCTCCCTGGTGAGTACAAGAGCCAGGGTTGGTGATGGATTTAGCCAAGCAAGGCAGCAGAACCCATGTAACCTGGTCAGCCTGAGTTAAGCTGCAGCACCTGTGGGTGTGCATGAGAACCAGATGGGATGCAGTATAACATGGGCTAAGCCATAGCACATTCTAGCACACTCAGAAACCTGGACTAGGAGAAGGCCTAGTAGAAGTTAATCAGGCTCACCCCAACCAGGCCATAGCACCTGCTGGTGTGTGTGAAGACTGGGCCTATGGTAGAATGGGCTGGGCTGGGCTAGGCCACAACACTCATCAGTTCACAGAGGGCAGAACTGACTAGATTGCTGCATTCACTGGTATGTGAATTGGCTGGTTCAGGTGATGGATCAAACCTGGCACACACAAGATTCAAGTCTGAGGTCATCCCAGGCAAGCTTTCTTGGTGGACTCCCTGACTGGAATGCTGGATTGAGATCCCAACCACAGAGATAAATCACAAGATGTCTTGTCTAATCTTGGAATGCACATATCACCACTGGGCCTCCTTAGTTGCTGATGCCTGTGCAGTAGACAGCATGTCCAGATGCACATGGGGAATAGGACATGCCGGCTCATCTAGGCCAGCAGAGGACATTTTTATCAGAGGATGAAAAACAGAACAGGTTGGACAATTCCCCTGGCCAAGCTTTGGGGCATCTCTTGGATCTGTGGATGCACTAAGGTTAACTTGTTAAGCCAACAGACCTTAGAAAGATATGCTTCACCCGGGTGCAACAAAGCTGTGTCAAAAAAACTACTCAAGAACACTGTTTCCTTATATCAGGATCTCTAGGACATCACCAAATGACTGCTCGCCATCCTCAGGTGGCCACATAGTTTTACAAGAAGTAGGGGCCCCCACCCCCTTTCTCCCAGTGGACACAGGAGAGAGAGAGAGAGAAAAAAAAGGAATACTTGTCCCACTCCCTTCCTCCATACCTCAGCCTTCCCCACCCTAATCACAGACCCACATGGGTATGTATCCTTCAAAACTTTGTAAGCAATGCTAAGAATAAATTTTAAAAAAGTTTGAAGAGACTCAAGCCATAGCTATAGACTTACAACTGTGTAAGTAGTTTAGAGCTGGCTACTAGTTTTCAGCTACACATGCCATTTTCCTGTGCTATACAGAAACACTTCCATACATATGCTTAGAGACTCCATTTTCCTGTGCCATACGCACTTCTATACATATGCTTAGAGACTCCACTTTAACTGAGCACTGTAACAAAGATTTTCCTAATTACCACACACGCACACATATATGTACTGTTTAGCATCAATGATCAGGGGCACCAATTCTGAAGGGGAACACGCAATACAATTTAACAATATACATCCAAAGCTTTCCGAGATACACTGCCACAGAAAGTCAAGCATTTGAACCCTTTTAGCTGAGCAGAGTAAATTGAAATAGCAGTGGAAAATTGGGATAACACTGCCAGAATAGACATCTTTTATGTCTCTGAAAAATATGCACCCAAGGGATTTAAACCACAGGAAATATTACTCATGACCAAAACAATCTACTTAGCGACTTGAACAAAATCATAAATCAAAGCAATTTTGAAAAACAACTTGAAGGAGTTTCATGAGAACATTCTTTATTGGCAAGCAGACATTTTAACCTTTCTGATTACATCCATCATGCAAAATGACTGACTTCACACATGGTTGTCTAGCTGTTCACTGTGACACAATCTTTTTGGAAATGACTGCAAGTTTAAAAATTTACATTTACTGCAATTTTAAAAATCAGACAAGAAAATGACTCTCAAGGAAGTTAAACATGAAGTATAACACAAAGTAGTATTCTTCACCTTTGTGGTTATTTAGTACTTTCTCCTTACGAAAACTATCATATATAAAAGTGATAGTCATTTTTATGTGTGCATCTATAGGCACTCCATATAACTGACAAAAATAATTTACAAGAAGAAGATTTCAAATGATTCTACAAGGTTTGGTTAATTTTTCATTGTTGTCTTCTGCTAATCCATAAACAGGCAAATGGCTCTTTTACTGAAAATGTTTCTTTCAACAAATCATTTCTGTAGGAAGACAAATTTGCTGCATGAAAAGGTACTTTACCCCTGGGAAATCTTTCTGATCCACACTGTTCTATTAACAGACTTCAAGAATTCCTGGAAAAACCACATATTTTAATTCCATTTTCCATGAACCATCTCAAGTCCCCTTGCATATGTATCATCAAAGCTATTTTCAACAACTGAAAAAGATCAGGGCTTCCCATCACAGGGGAGGCCCAGGAATAGTCTTTCTTACCCCCTTCAAGAGGCTGAGAGAACCTCATTTCTTCCTTGCTGGCAGGGGTGAAGGTGGGGAGCAGAAGGAGATCAAGATTTTTATCTTGATGTTCTGATAGCATTTCCAGCATTAAAATCTACAGCACAGGTAAATTCACCTGCTTGACATGCACAGTGCCTCTGAAAAAAGGTAAATTCTGAATCTCTTAGTCAGTAGCACATTCAAGTCAACTGGCAGCGAGTTAGGCATGACAGACTTCTCTAGATACCTGGGAGCAGGTATCCAAAAACACTGAAGTGGCTTTGGAATTTGGCAGTGGGTAGAGGTTGAAAAAATGTGAGGACTGTAACAGAAAGAGCCTAGATTGAAATAGAGATAGGATGTTAACACTAGTAAGGCCTTCAAAGTGTCTAGTAGGGAACATCTAAGTCACCGGAAGGACTATCTGAATTGCCCTGAAGAGACCTAATATAACAAAGACATCAGGACATTAGAAGTAACAACAGCAGGAATTCTGAAGGAAAAGAGGAATGTGTCACTGAAAAATTGAAGGAAAAAGACCCTTGCCACAAAGTAGCAAAAAGTTTATCTGAATTGTGTTCTGAAGTTGTTTGGAAGGCAGAACTGATAAACTTCAATATTTAGCTGAGACTATTGCTAAGCAATTATGGAAGACATGGCCTGTTTATTCTTGGCCGCTTATATAGTAAGAGGAAAAACGAGGGCAGATAAGCATTTCAACCTTTCATGACAAATGGAAGTAAGAGGTAAGTTGACTGTGGTATAAAAAAATTCTGAAATTCATTCATACCAGGGGTCTTCAAAAAAGTTTATGTGAAATACACACTGTGTTGAAAAACTGCATAGGTTTCAAATTTTCTTGTCCCCAAAACAATCTTTTCATTCCATTTTCCACAAACCTAATTTTTTAATTGAAGAGGTAAGGGCAGGGAGGAGGGGATGACAGGGACAACTTCCACCTGCTGGTTCATTCTCCCAAAAAAGCCTCAAGGGCTGGGCCTGAGACCAGCAGACAGGAATTCAATACAGGTCTACCATGTAGGCAGGTGGACCCAACCCAACTACCTGAGCCATTATTATCTGCTGCTTCCTAGGGTCTGCTGGCAAGAAGCTGGAATCAGCAACCAGAGCCAAAAACCAAATCCAGGCACTCTTGATATGAGAGATAGGCATCATGGCTCTAGGCCATATGCTCACCCCTACAAATTTTTTGAAGAACCTTTATAGTAAAATTGATGGAAGACTTGGAAGAAAAGCCTGTCTCTAACAGAGATGAGGATATGGTTGTACTACCTTTTGCTAATGCCTCAGAAAATTTTAAATATCTGAGCATCCACTCACACAAAAGTCTGTGAGATTGAGGCTTATGACTATCGGATCCTTTCAGATACTTCAAAGATAGTGGTGGGAGCAAGTGAAAAACGTATGTGGAGGAATCTTCTATATAATGGTGTGACTCCCCAAAACATATGTAGGAGACATACAAGTTTCTTGATGTTATATCAGCAGCAGCATTGCCACGTTCAAGTGAAAGGTACAGAGAATACGAAAGAAAAACATATATTATACAGCTGCTAGCATTTGCTTTAGGTTACGAAGAATTTTGAGAGGTAACTGGATTATCCCATGGATGCAATGCTGTGGTGAGTCTTTAAAAGCACAGACCCTTTCCTAGTGTTGTCAGAGAGATCCAAGCATGTTGGCTCTTAAAATGGACAGAGAAACTACAAGAACACAAGTGAGTAGCCCCCGGAGTCTAGAAGGACAAGGGAGTCATCCCCCCCTAGAACTTCTCAAAAAGAATGTAGCCCTGCTAATGTCTTGGCTTTAGAACAATTAAATCTATGTTGGACTTCTAACCTTCAGAATTATAAGATTTGCGTTATTTTAAGTCACTTACTTAGCTAATGTATTATGGCACTAAAGGCAAACTATCCCAAAGTGATGATTAAAGATGAGCTGGTGTCTGAGAAGAAGTAAACGCATGTCTATTATTCATGACACTATCTACTTCGTTCTGGAAATGCTTGGCTTCAGCAGAAATGCAAACACTTAGGCTGGTGATTCTTTAGATTCAGTCTCTCTGAAGGAATCTGCATTCCTGTATTTCCACACTACTTCTGTTTTAGAACAGAATACACTCTGGGTAGAAGACTGATTAGTTTGTACAGTGGGTACCCTAGGGGAGAAACGAATTGAACCAATTAGTGAAGGTGATAATGGCAGGTGCTGGAAGGGATTCTAATCACTGTATTTTAATAAAGTGCTGTTCATCTTATTTTCTCAAGAATTGCTGATCTTTGTCTTTTTGTTCCTAGTATATAATGGTTTTAGATGGGGAAAACCAAACCAAACCAAACCAAAAAACTAAATCCAAAATGTATTTTCTGACATTCATAGTATCCCTAACTCAGTAAGCAAGAGAATTTTATAAAATCTTAATAGAAGAAGAATTATTGCATGATAAAACCATTTGAAAACTCAGACTGTAATATATATTTCTTAGTATATATGACAGAAAAAGTTTCAACTTATTTGATCAAATGATTGCTCAAAGCTGTTGGCCAATGCCCTATCAAGGAACTTTAGTGCACATTTTATCGAATATAGTTATCAAAAAACAATTTTGTTTTTTTTTCTTAAAAACGAGTGTTACCTTAGCACTGAGTATGCAAAAAACTAGTTTGTCTATTTAAAAATCTCTCAACATAAACCAGCCTGCAATTAAAACTCATACATACTTATCTCAAGATACAATCCCATCCAAATTCACCTGTACTAAGACTGAAAGAACAACAACAAAACCAAAATTTATTGGTAAAAAAGCTAAAAATAACCTGGTTGCTTTTACACTGGAAGTATTTTCCTTATCAGTATGAATGCATAGATAGGCATGATATTATTTTAGTTGTTGGAGAATCACAGTGTTAAGAATATCTGCTTCTTGCAGCGTCTGGGTTTCATCTGTTAGATCTTTATTGGGAAAAGAAGTCACAAGAATAAAGTCAAGAGCTGCAAATTCAGGACGGGACTGCACAATGAAGTCCCGGACATCCAGGATTCTGAAGTGAAAAAAAAAACCAAATAATTCATTACACAAAAACAAAACCAATGTATGCTTTAGCTAAAATTAGATCATGACAATTTCACATTTCCAACACTTATTTCAAAGTGTAACAATTTTAATTTATATTAATTCAATAGAAGAATTTTTCTACCTCTAAGTTCACACAATTTTATATTGTATCTACATTTATTCTACTATAGAAACAATCTTGAGGTGAGTTTTGGATAAGAGTTAACAATGTTACTATAGTGAAAGTACAGGTATATTTTACAGGGTATAAAATTATATTACTAGCATTTGGCACCAAAAAAAGTAACATGCATTGGGACATGGTGAGATAAGTTTAAAACTGACAACCACTGGCCCGGTACGGTAGTCTTGTGGCTAAACGCTTGCCTTGCATGTGCTCATATGGGTGCTGGCTCATGTCCTAGCTGCTCCATTTTCCATCCAGCTCCCTGCAGTAGAGGATGGGTCAAAGCCTCAAAACCTCGCACCAGTGTGGGAGACCTAGAAGAAGCTTCTGGCTTTGATTGGCTCAGCCTGGGCTGTAGCAGCTACTTGGGGGAATGAACCAGTGGATGGAAGATCTTTATCTCCATTTTATATCTTTCCAAATAAAAGTAAACCAATCTTAAAAAAAAACTATGACAATTATGTCATAGGAATAATTTGAAAAATGGTTTCTAAACATATAACTCAACTAAGATAATTTGCTTCAATGATGAAATAAAACTATTTGTGAACACAACTGTTGATATATAAAAGACTGTTAAAGTGATACATATTTAAGACAATTCAAAGTACGGTATTTACCCACAGCAATTAAACTTTATCTACTTTATACATTTACACATTTTGATGAATTTGCTACATAGAGTTAATCCAATTAGAACTGTCATAAATTTTCTAATGAAGCCCCCCCAAATTTTTATTATTTTAAAGATGAAATAAAAATATTTCTCTAATAGGAGAAGCAGAGAGAGAGCTACATATACAAAACAAACCAGAGCTCCTGTTAGCTGACTCACTTCCCAAATGCTCATTGCAGCTAAGACTGGGTTAGACCAAAGTCAGGACCTGGGAACTTAGGCCAGACCTCCCATGGCACGAATCTAAATTGCTTGAGACATTGGTGCTGCCCCCTAATGTCTGCATTAGCAGGAATTTAGAGACAAGAGCCAAGCCGAGTACTGAATTGAAGCTCTCCAATGTGGGTCAGAGCTGCCTTAATAAGTGCCTTAACTATCATAGGTCCGTGTCCTGGTTTTAGTATTTAAAATTGCATTCCACCTTGCATGGTGTTAACAATAGACAAAAACCATATCTACGCTTAAAATAGCTAACAGAACGATTCAAATGCCTTTTCCTGTTATTTTATTTCATATATATGTGTATATATATATATATATATACTTTTGAAGATTTTTCTATCAAAAATTAAAGTATATGTGATGAATTCCACATTCTTCATCACTCAAGTCAAACATAGTTTTACTTGGCAAAGGCACAGCAGTTAACAGCAAACTAGACATGTTACTGATTTAGAAGCTTACCTGTGTGTACTGTTGAATCTTTGTATCAAACGACTCCCATCTGCTAACCTGATTTGAATTTTTGTAGTTGGCACTGAATCATCAATATTGACAACTGCATTAACTATTGACTTATTTTCTTCTTCAGGAGAGGAAGGTGTACTGACTATCTCAGGTGTAAGGCTAAGAAAGAAGAACGGAAAAACAGAGAACTAATCAAAACTCTTAAGAAAGACATGACCAACTGGAGATGGCATATGAACATGCAGATCTATCGGTCATCCTCAAGTGATTCTGGATTAGCAAAAGCACGACTTCCTTTGAATTCCTATACTTCTTCTAACCTTGTAACTTACACTAACATTACTTGAGATGGTATGAATCTGATTTACTTCTTCAATCCCTCTGAAAGGTCTGTGTTATTTTACTTTTATTCTGAAATTTCATCAGACTTTCAGCACAATTTCATTAAAAAGACAGAGACTTGGCTGTAAACACAGCTACATTAATTTTGTAAATGTGAGTAATCAATCAGGTCATTTATAAAATAAGAGATAATAAGATGATGCTTTCAGGTATATTATCCCAATAGGTCCTTAACACAGTTATAAAGCAGTGTTTGTAACAGAAAGCACTGATTTTTGCATTTACAGTCTAAACTAAACCATTAATATAAACTTGGTTGACAGGATTTAAAAACATTTAAGTAGTTATTTTTATTTATTTATTTAATTGGATAAAAGACAAATAGCTCCTATGCAATAGTCAGGAATGAAATTTTATTCATGGTGATAAAATTGGCATGAAGTTTATTAGACAACACATCTAAACATCTGACCCTGAAGCCAGTGACCTTAGAAGCCAGTGACATTAGCTATGATGTTTTAATACCAGCAGAATGATCAATCCTTCTAAGCTGAAACAATGTCCAAAAGTGAGTGCTTCTTTTAAAATAGAAAATTAGCCAATTTTAAAAGCTTATGTTTTACTTTATTTGAAGGAGAAACAGAGATAAAGATGGGATCTTCCATCAGTTAATTATGCCTGTAACAGCTAGGGCTGGGCCAAGGCTAGGCTAAAGCCAGCAGCCCCAAATCCATCCTGGTTTTCCAAACAGGTGTCAGTGCCCCAGGTATTTCAGCTACTGCCTGCTGCCTCCCAGGATGTATATTACCAGGAAGTGGGTTCAGAAATGGAGGAGATAGAATTCAAACCAACCATCCTGATTATGGGGTGTGGGTATCGCAGGCAATTACTCAACCACTACGACACATGCATGCCTTTCTTAGACAGTCTCAATGTTTCTTCTCTCAAATACTGTTTTAAATATCTTGCTATAAATTTTCATCTGAGAATGAAAATTTATGTACATAAAACCTTTATGAGCACTGATGCTTTAGCCCAACATAAATTAACTCATCACTCTAATTGCATCCTCTAAGCTCCCTGTCAAAATAGATGATAAAAGGGATGGCATGGTGGTGTAGGCTGGTACTCTGTGCGCCGTGCCATGATCCTGTCTGGGTGCTAGTTGGTGTCTTGGCTGCTGTTTCTGATCCAGCTACCTGCTGATGTCCTGGTAAAGCAGTGAAGGATGGCCCGCACCAAAGTGGGAGATTTGAAAGAAGCCCATGGCTCCCAGCTTCTGACCAGCCAAACTCTGGTTGTGGCAGTCATTGGAGTAGCGCCCCAGTGGATGGAAGATCCTTCTCTGTCTTTCCCTCTCTCTCTCTACAATTGCTTCAATTAAAAATAATAAATCTTAAAAATAAAAAGATAACAGCACAAAATGAACTGGTTCTATTGTTAACCCTTCACCCTTTTTGTTAGCCATTCCCCAACACAGCTTTTAGAAACAAATTAAGAAATACATATCTACAATATAAAAAAATGAGGATATGATCATTTACAACCCGTAACCAGATATTAAGGAATTTTCCAAGTTTGACACTGAAAGCTTAAATAGCTAGAATGCAACTCACTTTATTGAGCAAATAGTTTAACAACCTACACACACACACACATACACACAAAGGGATGAAAACTGCAAAGCAGGGATGTAAGAATGCAAAGGACTTCTCCCACCCTAGACTCTCCAACAACCAGGTGGACACATTATTTTTATCATTACTGCCACCATCACCACCTCTGCTGTACTCACTATTCACTCAACTGACACATGAGGCGATGCTGCATAATGGTTAACTGTGCATTCTGCTGAGAGTGAGAAGCAGGCTTTGCACAGAGATGAGGGATGCTGAGAGTACTCAGTCAGCCCAGTGTGACTGGAGAAGGTGCAGCCTTGTCTGCCCAGCACAGAGCTACATGAGACAGGCAATCCAAGGGCCACAGTCAGGTGAGGAACTGCCAAAGGCTGAAACAAGAAAAGCGAGGAAAAGCAGAAAGAACAGCTTATTAGGCTTTCGATAAGAGAGCATTCAAAGGTCCAGGGATCAAAATGAAGTCAAATTTAATCTGCGCTGGCTGGTGTAAGTTCTTGCTGAATCTTCTGAAAGTGAGTGACTTCTCTTAAGCAGAGAGATTATGACTTCAAGTTATGACTTCCATCATTAATATACAACAGCTCACAAACTCCTCTGTAAAAGTCCACTTGCTAGTCTTTCCTACCCAAAAGAACTCTGATTTTTCTGGGTTCTGTTCTGACTCACCAAGTCACCTTTTATCCAACAAAACATTTTATAGCACTACTTTTTCATTTGTGGTTTCACATCTGTGGCTTTCTTCTACTGTTTCATATGACAGAACTGGATAAGAGTTTTCCTCCTCTTCTGATTAAGGACCCAAATCCCCAACTGAAGTGAAATATTAAAAATCCAACATTCATTTTAATTTAAGTTGTCTTTGTTGAACTAAGACACAAAAGGAACCCCTTGAGGGAATTTCAAATGGCTTCTTTCCATACACATTTGTATTTATTGGACATAAAGGAAGTTTCTTCACTCAGCAAGCCATCATTGATTCAGTACTCCATAATTCAAAATAGCATATATTAAATTTCAGGCAGTGGTATAAAGGATCTATATAAATACTCAACAGACACGAATACTGATAGTTATTTATAATTATCTATGCATGTTTATTGATATGCTATATCATTCATTCATAGGGAAATATGTATAGATAGTGCTTACTAATAAAGTTCATAATGTAAAAAAAAGTATTCCTACATTTAGGGTTACTACATAATTAATTGTATACTGCAATAAAATTAAGTCATTTTTATCTATTAATATTCATTTATAGATTTCTTTCAATGGAACTTTGGGTTATTTCCATTTTTATTTATTTTGCTTCACAAAATAGTTGCTTGGAATTCCTGGGAAATCAGACATTTTAGAAAGACACTATCTAAATAGATGAAGGTTAATTGTTAAACTTTTATGTTACTATATTTCTTAATTTCAAATGCTCCATGTAACTCTTCAGTTTTAGACACAGATGCTTCTCAACTTACAACAGGGGTATGCCCAGAGAAACTCATCAAAAGTTGAAGATACTAAATAAAAAATGTATCTAATATACATGATCTAGCCAACAACACAGCAACGCAGCACACTATACAGAACAGGCTGTTTCTTGGGAGTGTGGGGCTGAATGGGAGCTGTGGGTTGCTTGGCCACTGCCTAGCATCATGAGGTGAATCCTATCCCATACGGCTAGCCTGAAGGTTCAAAATTCAGAATTCTAGGGAGTTTCAACATTTTTATACCACCGTAAGTTGAACAGCTGTAAATTAGGACCCTCTGTATATTAAACTTACTTATTCAACATCCAGATTCATGAATGTTGAATACAGACTCACATTCCCATGCTAATGTCTGTCTCATGTACATTTTCTATACGCTAGAAACTGTCAGTTTTAAAGACTACATTTCATGGAATCTTACAGCTAAAATTTTGTATGACTGCCCTTCCATTCATATTTTGTGCATGGAAGTAGTGTGATGTGAAAGCTTGGCAGCTCTTCTGGTTATGAACCCGGTGGAGCTCTCCAGTTCTTCTAGAGCAGTCATGAGCAAATGTTCTAGTGACAGGTTCTTAGCTTCACAGGTGCTGGTCAGTTGACATAAGAGGTGCTTTTGCTGGTGCGTTCTTATTAATGTTTGTTATTCCTAAGGAAAGTTTGGCTTTGCCAGAAATTGTAAAACTATCTGGCATCCTATAACAAAATTCTTATTAGCTAAGCTAACAAATCCATTTTTCTATCAACAAAATCTAGAAAAATATGGGCAATGAATAACCTGGCATCATCGATACTGCCATGTTACTTTTGTTCATCAGCTTCTTTGTCATTTTTCCAAGCTATTTGTCTAGAAAAGAGTAGCTTTCATGAGATACAATCATCAGACAGTTAAATTTGCAGCTTATAACCATTAACTTTTCTCTGCCGTCTTTCCTTTAGGCTACTTCAATTCAAACTCCAAATGTACTATGCTTTTGATAACAAACATGTGCGTTCTAATATTAACTCTTAGCTATAAATCTAAATAAAGTATGAATATATACACAGCAATGAGATGATTGGGCTTTTTTTATCTCTATTCTAATTAAAATCAATCTCAAGAAATATTAAGTTAAATAGACATGGTGGCGAATTAGATTTAGCTCTCTTATTATCTATCTATCTATCTATCTATCTATCTATCTATCTATCTATCTATCTATCTATCTATCTTCCCATCTTTCTGTCTGGGGTCATAAAGGAAGAGTGCAGTGCAGGAGAAGCTTGGTTATGTGCTGACAGGGAAGAAAGGTGAGGGAAAACACCCGGGTAGACTTGTGATTAGGCAAGGAAGGGTTTAGCTAGAAAAAAATCCTCAAATCTACAACAACAATTCTGTGGAAAACTGAATCTGAAGATGCTTATTGTGGTGTACAAATATCTTGATATCCATGAAATTTCAAAAATGTCCATTATGTAATTATGTGTCAAGATTTCAAAATGTTTTAGCATCAAAGGAAGCTTTCGTTTCAACGTCATAGTCCACAAACTTTTCGAAGTTCCGTCATACTCTTGTATTGCCTCCTAAGATTCAGTCTCTATCAGCAGAAATACAGAAAGGGACACTATAGTTATTCAAGTATAACTTCTCTATTTCGATAAATAGGGGAATGGGCAACCTGCAATGATAAGGTAAATAAACAAGATACAATAAAGAATCACGCTACAAAACAAAGACACACACACAAAGGATACACAAACGATTAGCTGAGAGTGACACGGTGGCAAATCTAAATTACCTGTAATATCATATGAGCAAACAGAGAGTTAACTTTTCCCAATATGAGATCTACACAGATTATGTTAAACTAGGGCTACTCTAAGGGACCTTGCTATACCATGCACACTGGTTTGTAAATTTTGCTCCACAAAATATAGTCAGAATTCCTTGGAAATGAGACAACTTCCTCCTTCATCTTCAGTCTCAGGTCAGGCTTTGTCAGTCTTTTATGTATTGAGGTTCTGTAGCTTACATGCACACTGTTTTGATATTAAGATATCCACTGTTCTATACAATCAAAACCCATTAATTTTCCCCTTTTGAATCCACATAATCTGGAAGGGCCACATGACATAAAGTGAAAAGCACAGACTCTGTAATCAGAGTGCCTGGGTTTGAATCCCATTCACCAGTGATTTCCTAAACTCAAACACATTGGGCAAATCCCTATATTTGCAAAATTGAGTTACTATGAAAATTAAATGAGTTAATAGCACATAAAGTGTTCAGACAGCTAGGAATGCAGGAATAACCAAGTTTAGCCTACTAAATACCATGGCTGGATTTGTAGTTTTTAGTTGGTTTTCATAGTTCATATTCTGATTTTTCTTTCACCGGTCAGTTTTTCACATTTCATTTGTTCTCATAAAAATATACATGTTGAAAAGGATTAAATACTTGTTTCATTTTAGAATCTTACCTTCCAAGTTTTTGGCCTTCTCCACTGAAGGCCTTGAACCTTAGCCTTGGCTTTATGTATTCTTGATCGTGATGATCCTCCATGTCCAAGCTCAGCTGGCCCCCATGGACCAGTCGCTGAAGCTCCAGGGGAATCTCTCTTCAAGAGAGAAAAAAATGTTTGTGTTTTTCAAAAATTATAAACTATACTGAGATTACTGTCATCAAATTAAGAACTGTATTGCAAACATCAATTTCTTCTTCCAATACAAACAAGTTGAGTACCCCTTTCTTGAAAGGCTTATGAACAGAAATGTGTGATTTTAGACATAATATCGTTAAGATAATATCTTTAACATGAGATCCAAATCTAAACACAGAATTCACTATGTTCCATTCATACCTCATACACATAGCTTGAAGGTAATTTTACATGGTATTTTTTTTTCATTAATTACATTGCATTATATTACACAGTTTCATAGGCTCTGGGATTCCCCCAACCCCTCCCCATGGTGGATCTCTCCACCTTGTTGCAGTACTACAGTTCAAATTCAGTCATGATTCTTTCTTTGCAAACATATGCCAAGCATAAAGTCCAGCATCTTATTGTCCAAATAAATTCAACAGTTTTTTGGGGAGACCATCTGTGGTCTGAAGGTAGAGCTGGCAGAATATCATCCCGATCAATTCAAAGCCCCAGCACAACATCAACAGCAATTTACAATATTGTGGAATTAATTGACATGGTATTGATTAACCAATATGTTAAAAAAAATGCAAGTTCTTAACCACATCCTGTGACTACTTCATCGACATTTCAATTTTAGTTTATATACAGAACCAGCTGCTATACACATTAAAATGGATATAGGGTACTATTCAGCTGTCTCATGTCTATTTTCAGTTTAGTATTTAGCAGTTTATAGTGTTGAAGCATAATTTTGCTGAATTACATGGTATTTTGACTAGACCTGTCACATGAGGTGAGATGGAACAGTTTCTACTATGGTAACATGGGAATGCTCAAAGGGTCTCTGATTTTGGAGAATTTCAGATTTCAGATTAGGGAGACTCAACTTGCACAGGAGTGTTTATGATGGTGATTATGTAGATCTCATATCTCAACCCTGGGATATTTGATTGTCACAGTGATCTTAGTGTGTTCCTGGGATTTAGGAAGTTAAACTGTAAAATAGCAATTTATACCTAGATTTCTATCTATGAGGATAAACGATTAACGTGGATTTTAATTTCTAAACTCTTGGAGGATGTTTAGAAAACCGATAGGGCTGGCTTTTATTGATTGTGGGTGGCTTGTAAGTACTACCGTTACCAGTATAAGAGCAGGACTGTGAATGAATGGCATGGCAAACTCATCTTGCACACTGAAGGCTTGTCTTGGATTCCACAGGATCATCATGTGCTCCATCAGAGGGTCACACCAATATTTTTAATATGTCTCAGTCCCAAATTTAACAGGGTCTTAAAGTCACATAAACAAAAAACACTTGGCAGGGTATTGTTTGATATATTTTGAAATTTCAAAGAATGTATCTATTGTATAAACTTCCAGAAGGATTGTACACTTTATCTAGAATTTTATAAAGCCCTTGAGTGTAATTCCATTTATGGTAATTAACATTCTCTCATACCCTAATATTCTAATTTTAATACTTGCCACATTGATATAGGAGGTGTTAGATGGCACAGAGCTACAAACTGCTGGCCTACTTCTACCTGCTGCTATGGTCAAAGCTGGGCATTTTAAATGTATCCACTATTTTACAACAAACGTCTTTCATTTCTTCAATATTTTAAAGTAGAATATTATTTTCAATTCTGGAGCAAATAATCCACTATCCTTGAGGATAGTAAAGACAACACTATGAAATACTTATTGTAAAAAAGATAGGATGTCTGATACATAGTTTACTACTATCCAACATCATTCATTTTCTTGAATATTTTGTAAAACTCTTCTTGAATCATAATTTCTGCTGGAGGACTGTGGCTTGAACTTAAAAATCTTTGTTTCAACATTAGCCTATAAAGCTTATGGGTTTTAGCTTAACAATAAATTTGTCTTGGTCTACATCACATTGCACTCTGCAGCAGTATATTTTCTTCCACAGTTGTAAATTCAGCACCATTATAACAGTACTTCCGGTCTTCACCAGAGATGAACATCTCTGCCTCCAACTGCTCCCAGCGCTTGTTAGTGATGCCTTGGGTTTCTGTGTCCACAGCACTGATGCAAGCTATTCTAACCCAGTATTTCCCAGCACCACACCCTACCTCCTAGGATAGCTTCTCACCCCATTCCAACCAAAAGAATACAAATAACACATCTTACCCTCGCTTAACAGATTCCAAAAACTGAGCATTTGTTGGGTCACTGTAAGGTCTCAATTCTCCATCATCTAAGCTGAAACCATTGCTCCACAGTTTAAGCAAAACCTGTACCTGTGGGACAGGGAATCAGGCAGAAATCATTTCCACCAAACAGATTTATGTTTTCAAACGTGATACAGCATATCATACCATTGTCCCGATTTAAAACAGGAAGCTATTCGCACTATTCTTTTATTCAGAGTTGTGTAGAAAACCGAATGTGCTTGCCTAGCAGATTTGCATTCAGCATAGCAAACTGAAGATGGCTGCAAAGAACAAAGGCTCCACAGCTGGGCTGCAATCTCACGTACAACCACCAAGGGAACAGAGAAGACAGCTCCAGGCATGACCCTGTCACTCTTCCCCTTCTCTTCTCCGCTGCAGAGCTTAAATACTCATGACAAGGGTCGAGAGAATCCCAGTGACTTTATGAAATTATAAACGCTAAAAAATGAAGCTTTAATTCTAACATTTTAAAAAGCAACAGAAGAACCTTAATGTTCAATAGTCACAACTCAGCTAATTACACTATTTACAATAATTATTATATATGCCAGTTTTCAAATCATTCTGAGAGATGGAGCAAGTGAGCCAGATAGGGAGGGCCAGTGAGCAATCTACCACGTGGTGGCTCATTCCCAAATGCTCACAGTGGCTGGAGAGGCCAAAGCCACTGAGAATCTAAACCACCTCTCCTACAGAAGAGGCAGGAAGCCAACCACTTGAGACCACCTTTGTCTCCCAGGGTCGGCATCGGCTGAAACCATGAGCCAGAGTTAGTTATGTAACTCAGGCATGCAAATGTGGGATGCAGGCATCTAAACAGCGGTTTAACCAGAAGACCAAACACTGAAGCGAAAGCTGATTTCAACAATCACACACTCCTTCAATAATCACTTATGTACTTCTAAGTGCACGACATGAAATAATTCAAGAAATACAAATTTACACTGAAAACTTACACACTGGTCTTTCGGCCCAAGTTTTAAATACTAGAAAAGATATTTATGTTTTTAGTTTAATTTTAAAACCAAAGGATTAACTAATAGATAATATCAATTTTCTTTCTGATTACTGTACCTACATCTTGCAGCTGATTTTCTCCATAGATGTATTCAGATCTCTTACAAAAGGAATTTCCCAACCTGTATCCTCCACCTGTAAAGGACTAAAACACAGATGTTAAACATTAAGTGAGGTAGGGCTAATGAAGTGAAATGTAATTATAAAGTATGATGGACTATAGTATTAGACAATCTTAAGGTAAGATAAGCATTTGCACATTGGAATGTGTATTTTACAGTAAATATTTTTTAAGGCACTATTACAATTTCAGAACAATTCTCAGAATAAATAAAAGCTTCACAGAGTAAAGAATTTTGTCAGTGAGTTTAAATGACCTGAAGCAGGGCTGTATCTTTATTTTATATGCTGCTTGACTTATAATTGACAATTGACAAGTTATAATTGACAAGTCAGCTCTGATAACACATTTTCTTTTGCTGCACTGATCATTAATTCTCTCATTCATCAGGCAGGGTAGCTTCTGACGTTAAGATGCTGTTCCCATCCCTAGTGATATAGATGAGCTTTCTATTGTCAAATTGCTTTCTCCCCCACCATGCTCATTATGGACAATATCAATTTCACATTTATTAAAACGAAACTGGAAAGCTTTCAAGAATCAAATGACTTGAAGACTTGACTGAGAAACTATTTCAAGCTATTGACAAAAAATGAAACAAAAGGTTAGAGTTAAAAGCACCAAGAAAGGTTTTTTCAGCAGACACAGCCTAGGCACAGCTCCAATCTTACTGAAACGTTATATGTAAGGTAAAGTGGGGGAGTTCAGAACCTTGCCAAGTGACTGTGATGGGGGATTCCAGGTTGAGAATGCTGATTGCAGGAATAAAGGACATTTAGAAGCAAAGGCTCTTGAAGTCTTTAGTACTCCAGTACTGAGATGGCAGCTATAAAAGCTATACAGCCGTTTAACAATTTAATAAGGTATACAAGTAATTTCACAAAGAAAGCTAAGCCTGTTCAAAAAATATGCCAGGGTAGCTGGATATCTATAAGCACAAAACGAAACCAAATTGCAAATCCTACATTTCACATAAAATTAATTAAAAATGAATCATAAGTTTAAGTGTAAAATGTAGACTGTGTAATTTTTTTTTTTTTTGGATAATATGAGCAAAAAACTGTGGGACCAATGGTGTGGTAAAAGTTAACACAACATCAGAAGCCTGATCCACAAAAGAAAATAAAAAAATAAAAAAACTTGACAAGTAGGATGGTTTTAAAATATCAAGCTATTGCTGTGCAAAATTTCAGTTGAGAATGAAAATATACACTACTGTGGGACAGAATATTTGCAAACTGTATCATCTGACAAAGGACCCATACCTACTAGAATATACACAGAATGCTCAAAACTCAACAGTAGCAATCCGATTAGAAAATAGGCAAACACTATGAAAAAAAATTTCATTGAAATAGGTTAAAAATGGCAATCAAGCACATGAAATGATATTTACCACCATTATTTATCAGGAAAATACAAGTTAGCATCATCAGTCGCAGACTCTCATTTAAACCATACTATCACTATGCTTCAAAACAGCTACAGTCAAACAATAACAAATGTTGATAAGGATTCAGAGAAATAATTTCTCATAGATCGTGAGAATATAAAATGGTACCACCATGCTGGAAAATAGCTTAGCAGATTCTCAAACACTCAACAAGTACTTGCCATGTGACCTAGCAACTGCACATCTGGGCTTTTATGTTATAAAAATAAAACTAGCATTTGTAGATGAACCTGTACATGATTGCTCACAGCAGTTTTATTTGTGATAGCTAACACATAGAAACAAATAAAATGCTCAGTTGATGAATGGCTAAACCCATGGTACATCCATACCAGAGGAATCAACTCTGATTCTGTTTTTTATTATATAAATTTTATTTTTGATAATTTTTACATATTTGATTAGGGTATGAAGGGTCAAGGGCTAGGGAAAGGGGGTGAGACCACCTTTTTCACTTTCTCTTTGAAAAACAGCAGTATTAATCCATAGGACAACCTGGCAAATAGACTACTTGCAGAAGATTATCTATTGTAGGATCCCACTTATAAAACCTTTTTAATATTGGGAAGCTATAGAGATGGAAAAGTGTGGTGGTGACCAGAGGTTAGAGAGAGTTCGAGAGAGAGTAGTGGGTATGACTCCAGTGGATAAAACACTAAGAGTTTTGTAATGACAGCATAGGATCATGACTGAGTCATAAAAACCAACACAGCAAAATGACACAAAACTATATTCACAGTGCGTTAGTGGCAAATTCATGGCTTTGATATTGTCCTGAAACTTTAAAAAGTTTGTGGAAAATGGAATTGAAATATAAATTGAATTTGCTGCTGAAAAAAGGTAATGCATTTTAAGTTTCTTCAAAAAGTTTGTAGAAATGCATACAATGGAAAAAACTATGAATAGATTTCAAAGTAGGTTGAATTTAAACTTACCTTTTTAAGACAAACTTCTCTTTTAATTCTATCTTACATGAATTTCTTAATGTTCTTTCTTAAAATCATGCAAGGAGGAACCATTTAGGGAAATAAGGGCAATGGATATGTGAGTCTTTTCTCTATTCCTTTTAGAAATTTCTGTCAATCTCTCATTAACAGACTAATCATTATCTCATAAATGAGAAGTATTAAAGCAAATACCCAGTTAGAAAGCAAATGTCTGTTTATAAAAAAGGATAAGCGATCGGATATAGAAATAGGATGTTTAGTTTTGAAACTGTACACTGACCTTCGACTTGTCATCACTTGCAGATCTTGTGGCTTCATTCAGAGGGACAGCACCATGCTCTCTTGCCTCTTTGAAAAGTTCATTCACAATTTTTCCAGTTGAAGGACGAACTATATGTAATCCGCTATATTCATGTTCACCTGAATAAAACCTTTAAACATCATGGCTCATGAATAAAATCTTAGAATCACATCCTATATTGGATGCAGTGCCTGGGTTCAAGTCTGGCCTTGGTTTCCTCTTCAGGTTCCTGCTAACACTCACCCTGGAAGGAGCAGGTTTTGACCATGTCTCTGCCACACATATAAGACATAAGGATGGATTTCTTAACTGTTGGCTTAAGTCTGGTTCCACTCTGGCTCTTCTGGCATTAGGGGAGTGAATCAGTGGATAGAAGATCTTTTTCCCTTTCTTCCACTCACACTTTCTTTTTAAAATAAGCTTAAAAGAGAGATTCCTGGGACTGCTATAGAAACATTAAATTCTTAAAATGAGACTAAGGACAGCATTAGAGGAAATGGTTCATGTACTTTCTCAGTTGGCAGGGATTCTGACAGGTTCAGCCTCCAGCACAACACCTGACTTCCTGGCTTCCCTGGCTTGGTTCCTTGCAATTGTTTATCAAATGCAAAATAGGGTCTTTAGATGAAACGGAAGAAAAGTGACAATCCTTTCTCATAAGGAATCCACTCTCAGCACACATCTAGTTAGTTTAAAAAATGCCTAGATTTAGACATCATAAACACTGAATTCTAGAGTACATGGCTACACATACAAGTGTTACTCCTTAGAGATTTTTTGGATTGAAAAAAGACTATTTTAATCCTTGTGCTAGAACAATGTAGACAGCAACAGTAGCTACCTTCTACTCTTACTCCAACTCATGCATATCCCCAGAAAAGTGTCTCCTTATGTTTGAGTAAATCACCTTTCAACTCACTCTAAGGAAAGAGAAATTCTACCTAGAGAACAAGTGTATACCACTAGAACATGCTCACTGATTAAAGAAAGAGGGGGGCTTCACTCCGCCAGGGCTCTGAAATAGTACACAGTGGCTTAAGTTTACACAGAGCAGAAGTCTAGGGAAGGCTTGCTCCCAAGCTTACACCTGCTGGGTCCAGTTTGGCAAAGCTGAAGAGCGCCCCAGCTGATCTTACGGCAACCGTTAGTAATAACAGAAAAGGAGCTCTAGAGCAGATAATTTTAGACAGCAATGGCAAACAGAAAAGGAACGCTCTAGCTGCAACTGCCTGCTACTGTAGCTCTGTTATTCCCTGGCGCAAAGTGTCTAATCTGGCAAAATATGTACCACTCATCTTAGTCTTTTAAAACTATTTATCTTTCATTTTTCTTTAAAAAAAAACAGAGATACATATCTTCCATCCCCTGGTTCACTCCTCTAACACAACAGCCAGTGCTTGGCCAGGCTGAAGCAAAGAGCTCAGAACTCAATCCAGGTCTCCGATGTAGGTGGCAAGGATCCAAGAACTTGAGCCATCACCTGCTGCTTCTCAGGGCACATGCCATCAGAAACTAGCAGAGCCAGGACACAAACGAGGCATTCCAATTTGGAACATGAGCATCCTACATAGTATTTCAACTGCTGCATTTAATACCTGTTTCATTTTGGTCTGATATGTTAATAATAGCTGACACTTGTCAGGGGGTAACTATGTATTAATTTAATCTTCATAATAATGGTGTTGTCCTCACCATAAGGTGAGGGAATTTAAACACTTGCCCACTAATAAAATCTATACAAAGAAAAAAATCAGTATTGAGGTGAGTCAAAGCTATTACCACTGTTAAAAGTTTTCATCGTTAAATGTATTAAAATAGAAATGTACTAGCTTGTCAGTGGCTTCTACACAGTTTAGGCTCGAAGGCTATGACTGCATCCAGAATTAGCCAAATAACATGTGAGGTTCAGTTACTTGACAAATAGAAACTCAATGAAATTGGGCAAATGCTGCTACTGAATATAGAGTCAAAGGAGTTGTGTGTGCAGTGTTAGAAAATACACTGATAAAAAGAGATGTCCAAATCCTTGCTTTGCACACATCAGGATCCTATATGGGGGCTGGCTTGTGTTCTAGCCACTCCACTTCCCATCCAGCTCCCTGCTGTGGTCTGAGAGAGCAATAAGAGGATGGCCCAAAGCTTTGGGACCCTGCACCTGTGTGGGAGACCCAGAAGTTGTTCCTAACTCATAGTTGGATTGGCTCAGCTCCAAACATCACAGTCACTTGGGCAGTGAACTAGCGGGTGGAAGATCTTTTTCTCTAAAAATCTGCCATCCAAACAAACAAAAAAATCTTTAAAAAAGAGATTGCCTATAATTTACATCATTTCTCAAGCAGTTTATACATAGTTTAAGCTTCAAGCCGTATCTTACAAGGAAGTTCATCCTATAAGTACATAATAATTCTAGAGAGCAAATCTAAGGGACAAGACCCAAAAATCTGTATTATCAAATTACAATTTTTGATGGCAACGTTGTTTCAGATGGCATAAAAAATAAAAACCCATTCACTATATTAGGTATTAGAATAGCAAAGGAAATATCAACACATACTTTTATTCTAAGAACTCAAATGTTTTGATTTGCTACATAATAGGAGCAGATTAAGTCACTGGAAATAAGTTCAAACTGAGGAAACAATGGCCAAATATTGTTTAAGTAAATGTTAGTTACACAAATTTACCTTAAGCACTCTTAAAATATGGAAAAAGGTAAAAAATAAAGAAACAACTAAGAGTTAGATGAAGATAGTTTCAAAACACCAACCTGCTGATTAAAGGCAAAACTGTACCTTAAAATGGAATGATGTGGTTTTCAGCACTTTAACCAAGTGAATATGTCACCAATAGTGGAAAAACCTGAAATTACAGGGCTGCTGATGTGATATAATAAACAGAAGACATGATCACTTATCTAGTATTTCAACAAAGATGTTTAATTAGAAAAACTAATCATGAGGAAACAATGATCTAGAATATGGGACACTTTATAAATTGCGCAACAGGCTAATCCTCTACCCTCAGGCACGGGCATTCCATATAAATATCTGCTGGTTTGTGTCCTGGCTGCTCCACTTCCCATCCAGCTCTCTGCTTATGGCCTGGGAAAGCAACAGACGATGGCCCAAATCCTTGGGACCCTGTACCCAAGACTCTTAAGTCTCAAGCAGTATCTTTTAAGAAAGTTCACCCTTATGAATATGTAGTTATATTAGAGAGCAAATCTTAGGGACAAGACCCTAAAAACTTATGAAAAGGCTTTGGATAGGCTTAGTTCTGGCCATTGCAGCCATCTGGGGAACTGAACCAGAGGATGGGAGACCTTCTTTCTATGTCTCTCTCTCTCTCTCTAAACCTGCCTTTCAAATAAAAATAAATACATCTTAAAAAAAAAAGCTTAGAACTTTAAAAAAAAAATCAGTGTAATGGCTTCATATTATGAACAACAAAAAGTAACAAAAATGTGGAAAGAATGGCCTAGGTTTAGAAAATCAAACTAGGACTTAAATAAGTCCATGCAAAGTCCTGGGTAAGACTTTAAAATCCTACGAGACAACCTGACCATAGACTATATATTGAGTCATATTGTGGAAGTGCTTCCAGTTTTTCAGTTGTAATGCGCTGTCAAACTGATAAAGCAGCAGGTGCATATTCCGGGGAGAGGCATGCTGAATGTACAGCCTAAGTGTGCTGGCTACAGTCACTTTTCACACAGTGGAGTAAAGGAGTGTATACACAAGTACAGTGTTACAACAGTGTTAACCAGAGAATATGGGTGAAGCAAAAACAGTATTTATCTACTGTACCAATCTTTCAATTATCAAATGGTCTCAAAATGCATAAAATAAAAAGCTAGGGAAACTAATTTTTTTCTTTTTTTCCAGTATTTTGCCTTTCCTACAAAAAGTAAGGATATGAAACAGTAACAAAGAAAAACAATTTGAATATTTCAGCTTTTAGAAAATAACAACCTTTCTGAGAGATACAAATTTGTTTCTCAGGGTGATATTTGTAATACTAAAGAGGTATTAATGATATTACTCATGGCTGTGAAATATAGCTGGCTTTCATCCACTAAATCTTCATGATTGCTTCTTTTTCTACTTCAGTAATTTTTTTTCAATCTTATTTTTATTGGAAAGTCAGATATGCAGAGATCTTCTATCCGTTGATTCACTCCCCAAGCAGTCACAATGACCAGAGCTGTGCTGATCTGAAGCCAGGAGCCTGGAGCCTGGAACCCATAGCCTCTTTTGGGTCTCCCACACGGGTGCAGGGTAACAAGATTTTGGGCCCATCCTCAATTGCTTTCCCAGGCCACAAGCAGGGAGCTGGATGGGAGGTGGGGCTGCTAAGATTAGAACCCACACCCAGGGTATGCAGGGCGAGGAATTTAGGGGCTAGGCTACCACACTTTGCCCTATAGTTCAGGAATTTTTTAAAACAGCAGCTAGTATCTGCCAAGTCTCTTATTAAGTGATTCATCAGAGACAGGGTACAGAAGCTTTAGATTCTCAATCAAAGAAAAAAGTTTCATAGCAAGCTCTGGGGACAGGCTTTAAGAATCACACTTATGGACGAGTGCCATTTGGTGCCACAGGCCCAGCCCAGATTGGGCAGCCCCCATGAATGCCATTTGGTACTAGGTACCCCATGCACTCCCTGGCTCAAGGACTGTGGATTGAACAGGGAAATGGGAAAAGGGATGTGTGGGAGGGGATCACTGAGGGACTATGTTGCAGGTGAGGAATGACTTCTAAGGGATTTCCACCAACAAGACCACTGTGCTTGCAGGTAAGCGAGGAGGCTGAGCAAGAGCAGTTTGTAGGGGAAAAGTTGGAGGACCTTTATGGGTTAGACCAATGCATGAGGTCACGTAGGAGATCTGAGCTGGGCTAGTTAGCATGGGTTACCACCAACTACCACTCATCAACGCACACTAATGTTAGGGCAGGGAGCCTACCTTACAGGGTTATGCCACAGTATCTGAGAGTGAGAACAGGGGATGGGTAATGTTAGGCAGGGCCATTGACACTACCAGCACATGAGAGAACCAGTTCTGGGGCAGAGTCTGTGGTGGATATATGGGCCACCCCTGTGGAACTGCAAAATCCACTGGTTTGCTTAAGAGCTGGGGGTGGTTACGGCCTGAGCTAGGCATGCCTATGGAACCCTCCGACATTAACGGTGTTGGAGTTGGGACAGGCCAGGCTGGTTCAGGCTGCAGTATCAACAGGTACTCCCAGGAATGGGGTGTAGGTTGGATCAGGCCACAACCACCAGCTCATACAAAGGCCAGGATGGAAGGGGCAGACTACGGTGGATAGGGGCCTAACACATGCTGATAGAGGGGCTTGGGGAATTTCTTTGTCAGGACACAGTTGCTGCAGATGAACTCAAGAACCATAGCTGAGAGGAGACCAGACCAGGCCCGGTTACAGTACCTGCAGGTACAGGTGGGGATCAGGTCTGGGGGCAGTCTAGGCTGGGCCAGTTTATAACACTCACTGGCAGATCTGAGAACCAGGGCAGGGTGTAGGACAGACAGGGTTGGGTCACAACACCAGCCAGCTCACATTAGGGCCGAGTACTGGGGGGTAGCTGGGCTGGTCTAGGCTGCTGCACCCACCAGCATGAGCTGGAATCAGGCGCAGACCACGCTGGGCCAGTTTACAGCACCCACTGGCAAATGCCTAAGTGAGATGGGCTATGCCAGACTGGGCTGCAGCACCCACCAGTACATGTGGGACCCAGGGTGGTAGAGGAGTATGTGAGCCCAGTAGGGGAGCTGTGGGGGAGCTTTCCTGTCGGGCCACTGCCTCAGCTGGTGAGTGTGAGAAATGGGACTAGGGGAAGATCAGGTTGGGCAGAGCTACAAAACATGTTGATCAGCATGAGAACTGGGTTGGGGCGAGTCAGGCTGGGATAATCAACTGTATCCTATGGTGTATTCATCAGTTAGAGTAGGTGCAGACCAGTAGGACTTTGCCTCAGCATCAGCTGGCAAGTGCTGGGACTGGGGGCAAATTCTGTCAGGCCAGACTGCACAATGACCTTGAAAGTGTAGGATCTGGAACTGGGTGTTGAGCCAGTAAGGGCAGTGGGCACTTCTTTGATGGGTTGTAACTCCCATTGGTGAGCCTGAGAACCAGGGATAGGGGAGGGCCTGGTTAAATAGGGGTGGCACCCGTTGGCATAAATGTGGGCTGTAAAGTGGGGTCAGTTGGGTTGAGGGAGGCTTCAATGCCTTCTGATGTGTATGAGAGTTCAATGGGATGTGGCACAGACTGGACCAGTCTGCTGCACATACTGGCAAGCAGAGGAACCCGGGCTGGGGGTAGGCCTAGCGAGGGTTATTGGGGGTAGCTTCGACTAGGTTGGAGTTCTTGCTAGTGTATGTTGGGCAGGATTGGGCTGGGCCACAGCATATATTTGTTTAATAAGAGGCACGGCTGGAGACAGAACCGACACAGCAATTGCAACTAGGGTGGGTGATGGACAGAGCCAGACTCCGTATCGGCAAGCACACACGAGTCAGGTCTGGGATCACTTCAGCTAAGGTTTCTTTCAGAATCCCCCCAGATGAACGCCTCCACTCAGAACTCCAAGCTGGATACGGGGAGAATTTCAGGAGCTATGATTTGAACGTGGAATACATGTGTCAGAACTGGGCTTCCTCACTGGCCCAGACAGAGCAGTAAACAACATACGCAGACACTCTTGGGGGATATGGCAGTCTACCCGGGCCTGCAGAAGACATCTGTTACCATAGCAGAGGAAGGAGGGCAGAACAAATTGATCAACTACACCAGCCAAGAGTTGACAGCTAATATCTGGATGAATGGAGACTTTAAGGTGGACTGTCAGCCAAAGAACCTTGGAAAGATTTCCTCATCTTTGGAGTCGCAAGATCACCAGCATATCAGAACTATCAAAACACTTCAGCAGAACCCTCTGAGCATGCTCCACATCAGGACCCGGAGATGACTGACATCAGATAGCTCTTCCTCAGCCCCGGGTACTGAGTCAATTGGGAGTCTGGTGTGGCTTCTCTCCTTCTCTCCTACTTCCCCCAGAAACAGGAAAAAGAAAAAGAAAATGTGGAAACAACAGTCTAACCCACTTTTCCCTAAACCTTGGCCCTTCCCACCCTAACCAACTATGTGAACATCATCAAAAAAAAAAAAAAACCTGAAAAATTAGTACATGAATATGTCTTTGTAAGAGAGGATTTAAGATGTTATTAAGTCTCATGACATACAGAATATTAAAGAACCACTTTGTCTTAAAATAGCATTCAGATATAATTTCAAATGTCAACAAAAATACTAGGTACTTACGTTTTCTGTCAACGACTATAAGGTTTTAGAACTAGTACCCAAATAATACTTGAGAAAAAACAATTTCATAAAAATCTAAGATAATTTATAATGATTTGGGATTAATGAGATTTATAAAAAGAAACATATAATTTTTTCTTAAACAAAACTTACCGCTGAGGTGGTGTCCTTGGACTCCTGAAGGCTGTAGCTTTAGGTCTTTCAGTCTTGGAAGATTTGCATTTTACTTCGTCTTCATATAGTTCTGCCAAGGCCAACTACATAGTAACAGGTTTGTTACAGAGCAGAACACTAGAAATAAAACTTTGCAAGTACAAGTTACAAATATACTATTCACTTGAAACTGAGCACTGAAGAATGCTTATAAGTGAAGGCTGCCACTTCTGAAGATAAATTTTTCTTCAAACTAAATTCACTTCAATTCTCCACTTACAGAACTAGCCAAATCCCACATATACCAGAGTTACAGCAGTAATTACTTAATTTTTTTCAAGTAATCATTCAATGGTGTTAAACTTTGTAATAGGAAACAAACCACTTTAAATTTTGGAGCAATAGAACTGTCTACCGTTTGTTAAGAACACTTGGGCACGGTGGGGTAGCCAATGGCTAAAGTCCTTGCCTTGCATGTGTTGGGATTCCATAGGGGCACCAATTGATGTTCTGGCTGCCCCCACTTTCCTTCCAGCTCCCTTCCTGTGGCCTGAGAAACCAGTCAAGCAGGCCCAAAGCCTTGGAACCCTGCACCTGCGTGGGAGACGTGGAAGAGGCTCCTGGCTTCAGATTGACTCAGCTCTGGCCATCGTGGCCGGCCACTTGGGGAGTGAAACAGTTGACAGAAGATCTTTCTTTCTGTCTCTCCTTCTCTCTGTAAATCTGACTTCTCAATAAAAATAAATAAATATGTAAATAAAATTCTTGAAGAGGTTTCACTTTAATATCAGCTCCTTTTATTAGATCTTGTAATTTCTTACAACTGTTATAATTTTTCAAAATCCATGCACAGAAAAACCATTTCTCAATTAAAAACTCATCAGGCATATAAATGCCCTGAAAATTAGTTTCGTACAAATGAAACCAAATTATATGTGATACAGCACAGCTGGAAATCTTCAAGAAAAACTATATTGTTTCTTTAAATTTTAAGACGTAATCCAAACAGTTCAATGCTACTTTCTTCCCCCAAGTTTGGCATCTTTGGAATTAACTCAATCACCTTCCTTAATACACAGCATGGCTTTCTGATGACAACAGGCATGATTACAGTCTACATTATGTCTTTCCTTCTTAGAAAACACATTGTGGGAACAGCTCCTTCTTAGAAAACACATTGTGGGAACAGGTGGGACCCCACCTGTATGAGGGGCAGCCCCAAGATGGCGCCTGGCCGAGGGCCAGGAGGTGGGATTTGTCCCAGCAGCAGGTAAACAGGAAGTCACAGGGATAGGCTAGCAATTATGTCATTGCTACTGGCCTATCAGGTAGCGCCCAGTGGGCCCACGGGGAGAAGTGACTGGTGGAGAACTGTATGTAAACAGCCCGCTTTTGGCAATAAACCCTTTTTGTTCGTGTGTTCGTTCAGTGTGTGTGCTGGTTGCGGTGGCGGTTCCAGGCCCTCGAAATTCCTCGTCATTTTAGTGTCGCCACAGGATGGCGATAACACATGCACTCTTTTTTTAAGAAAAAAAAAATGCACTGGGGTAATTAATATCTTATCACTGAAGTCTTAAAATACATATACAATAAAACAGAGTAATTTTTATCGCTAATTTTTTCTCCTTACTTGGGGAGTGAATCATCAGACGGAAGATCTTCCTTTCTGTCTCTCCTCCTCTCGCTATATATCTTACTTTGCAATAAAAATAAATAAATCTTTAAAAAAATTTTGGAATGCATGCATAGTTGTTTTTTGCCTTAAAAAAACTGTGGCGATTAATCGAGTATTCTACTAGTTAACTCTTAAAATATACACATAACAAAACTGAATAACTTTTCTCCCTATTGTTATGTCACACATACTTAGGAATTTTCTGAACTGCTTCATGTATTAAGCATTGTGTTGTCATTATCAGTATACGTTATTTTACCTTCTATACAAGATTTGAACCTTGCCAAATTGTTGCTAATACACATAGTACTTAAAAAGCATGCGATGAATTTATTCCAAAATATCGAACGATTGTAATGCAGGGGCAGACATTCTGTTGTAGCAGCACAACCTGATATTAGGCATCTGAGTGCCTGGGTTACAATCCCACCCTGCTTCCAATGTAGTGTCCTGCCAATGGACGTCCTGGGAGGCAGCAGAACACTCAAGAGCTTGGTCCCCGCCCCCCCATGTGGGACATCTGGATGGAGCTGCAGGCTCCTGACTTCATGCAGACCCAGCTCTGGCTGCTTCCCACACTTAGGGAGTGAACCAAAAGATGAAAAAGCTCTGACTCTGCTTCCTTCTGTCACTCTGCCTTTCAACTAACACATTTTTAAAAACAGTGCAACACAATATGAATAATAACGATTATGTAGCTATATATTTTATTTTTTTTAAGATTTATTTATTTATTACAAAGTCAGATATACAGAGAGGAGGGGAGACAGAGAGGAAGATCTTCTGTCCGATGATTCACTCCCCAAGTGAGTGCAACGGCCGGTGCTGTGCTGATCCAAAGCCAGGAGCCAGGAGCTCTTCTGGGTCTCCCAACATGGGTGCAGGGTCCCAAGGATTTGGGTCTTCCTTACCTGCTTTCCCAAGCCACAAGCAGGGAGCTGGATGGGAAGCGGGGCCGCCGGGATTCAGTGCCTGAACGGGATCCTGGCATGTTCAAGGAGAGGAGTTTAGCCGCTAGGTCACGCAGCTGGGCCCCGGATCATAAACTTTCCACTGACACTTTCCCACAAAGAATAAGGAGGTCAAGAAAAGCTGCTCTTGTTTGAAATGTAAGGCAGCTTTTTCGAGTAGTCTATTATGTCAGCAAGAAGACAAGATGAAGTGACGTGGACCACTACCGCATGATGCTCATAACAGACTACTCAAAAAAGCTGCCTCTTTATTTATACAGAAACCATGACAAGCTTTTGCACAACACTGAATTGTTTCATTTTTACTTTATGGTCAAAAGAATACAAAAACAATTCTAAAAAAATCATTATTACTATTTTACTTCAAAGAAAACATTTTCAACAAACTACTACTCGTTTAAACCTGCAGTCACCTGGCTGAATCTAGGAACTGCATGGTTGGCAGCGCACAGGGTTACATAGTGACAGGTGGTTTACTTATAACCAAAACCAATTTTCACTAAACCTAAACTAACATTTAACTTAAAATACCAAGAACACAAAATTAAAAAGCTTACAAATGAAAGGAATTTATAAAGGCATATATCATAGACTCTTTATTAAATCTTATAATCAGTCATATGCTAATTACCATCATCTTCCCCTAGTACTGATTCAATTGATTTTTGTTCATTTGTTAAAGGGCAGTGAAAAGGATCAGGGCAACTCAGCCTTTCTACAAATGTGAGGGCTTTTACAAAAAAATCTTATCTTTTCAAACTATTTTCGTTCCCTAAATGTAAGTGCAAAGCAAAGGCGGAAGTTTCAAACCATTTTCCTCTGGGGGCTCACAGCATTTGTCTCCCCTTAGAAGATGTCCCATATTCATAGGCTCTATGCTAAAATGCGTCATTTCATGTAATGCAGCAGTCTGAGGCTGCGTGGTAAATAAACTCTTCGTACCTCTACGATGGCCATCTGTTTCCAAGATATTACCAAGCCATTTCTTAAGGAAAACATTGCTTATGTTAGGGCAAGCTCCAAGACAAAAGCGGGCACATAACAAGATGTTTGGGAACAATGTGGGCTCAATTATATTATTGCTTGCTGTGTGTCATTGGCTTACATTGTTAAAGAGCTTTTACCATGACATGATTGATAAAATTAGTTTTCCGTATTAAACCAGTTGCAGAAATCATTTCATAATTTGTAGAAAAACAACAACACCCTCAAGAGAATTCTATGAAACATCAGAGAGGTGATTGATTGTCCATACAATGGGGTGAGGCAGCAATGAGATGACCAGAGACATTCTGCCAGACTTTGCCACGCAGCCAGAAACTCCTGGTAGCCTCGTTAACTGAGGAGCAGTGCTAGTCACACCCTCGCTCCATCTGTCCCAACTGCATGGCTTCCCGCATACGTGACACCATCCTCACTGTTTATAAACAAAGACATGGAGGATCAAGGAAAAGGAGACAATTCCAATTCCACACACTTCTAGAGATGGGACCATGATGGAAACCAAGGCTGCTTTGGGGAATAATTCATTTTTTCCCCAACACCGCATACTTTATCATAGATTACTTATGCCTATTTAAAATAGGTAGACTATGCTGTAGCCTTCTATTTCTGATCTTATTTAGTAGCACTGACTTCCTATGGGTACAGGAACTATTCAATATTGAATCCAATTCCTAACCTTACCCGGATGTCTCCGTTGTCCAACTTAGGGATTTTGGCAATAATACTCTCATAACAAAACATGCTAAGTTTTTTCATCAAAAAACCCAGAAGATTTCCAAAAGCTGTAGCTGTCTTTTATACTTTTATATAGTTAGAAGACAATTCTTTAAACCACTGAACAGTCAGCAGTGTTTATTTGAGTGAAGAAAAACAGAAACAATTAATGAGTCAGGCAGCTCTCAGAACCAGAGCAGGCTGTGAGAACCACCTGCAATCAAGTGCACCATCTGACAGCACTTACAGAGAAAAGGAACAGAGAACAACTTCATTAGCTCCAGCTTACCAGGTGACTTAGTTTAGGGCCCTCTGCAACCATCCCACACTCCGTATGTGATTACATCGGTTTGCTCTCTCTGTTGGGCCCAGTCCGTATCTACGGCCTCTCACAGATTTTATTCATCAGCATCCTTCAACATAACCCAGCGCCATAAACAGGATAGTTGATCTGCTATCCAATTTCTCTCTGCATCCTCAAGGATGTAGCACTACTTTGCATGGAAGGTAGTAAATAGTTATTTTAAACAGAGACTGGAAGTGTGCTATCAAAGAATACAGCCATTCATTCCACCAGAACCTGTGGCTTCAGCCTCTCGTATTTTAAATTATGACTCTTTATAGATGTTCAGTTTTTGGCCAGCAGTTTTTAAAACTACGCTGCCATAATGGCCGTGGGATGAACAGCTTTAGTTCATCTTTTTAAAAAGGAAAGCTACTTGATAAAAAGCAACTATTTCTAGTTGACAGCATTCAAGACATAGAACTAAAGCATACTAACCTAAATCATATTAATATATTTCTTTCTAAGCATTTGCTGATGTCCCTAGGGTCACGGTAAAGTCGCCTTCTGCCATCCAAATGACACCCCAACAAAAAGCCATTCTAAGCGGACAGCTGCTTCTCCTATTGTACAAGGGAGTGGAAGGGAAAACCGGGCTCTGGCGCTCCTAGGTTCCAGCACCTGTTCCACCACCGCCAGGCAGTGTGCCGCCCGGAGGCGACTCCGCGCCGGATCAGCCAGGGCCAGCGCCTGCCTGCGCCCGCCGCCGCGCGCCCGCCCTCGGCCGGTCACTGCACCTGTAAATCCCGCGCGCTCGGGGGCCGCGGGCCGGAGGACCTCCTCTTCTGCTCGCCCGCCTCAGAGCCTCCGCCCTCCGCCATCTTCCAGTATTTGGCAGCGCTGGCTGCGGATGCGCCTCCCGACTTCCGGGACTTGTTGCCGGGTAACCGCGGGAAGGGGCGGAGCCGCGCCGAGGGACCCCTGAAGGGAAGGAGCTGTGCAAGGTGGGTGCGCCTCACCCTGCTGGGCTCCCGCGCCCTTTTCCAGCGCCAGGTCACCTGTCGGGTCTGTCGGGTTTTCTTTAAAGGTATTGACCCAGAGAGTTTCCCCGCAGAGGAACCTGCTGCGCGCTGGAAGACGCTTAGAGGTCTCTAGAGAACAGCAATAGCTGGCAGATTCATTTAACTCTACAGTGAGGTAATATCTCAAGGAAACTGCGACGTCACCCAGAGAATATCAATTTCTGCTTTCTCCACTTTCAAGCATAACGTGGTTTGTCCCTCCCCACAGCGGGCGTTGCTAGTTAGTGTGAAGGATATCATAAACGGCCTTTTTATTCAGGATGCAAAGTGTTAAGCCATCTACATTCAACCGATATTAAACCATTTTGACACAAAGAAAGATGCTGGAAAAAGAGCAGGTGCAAGAAAAGCACATTGACCTTTCCTTTTCTTCCAGAAAGTAAACTACAGAACTCTCCTCATCAGGGTTGGGAAGCTGAGGCCAAGGAAATGCTTGGCTTCAGACAAGCAGACTTTGTTAACCAAGCCATTTCTTCCTCACTAACTTCTCCATGATTGTTTCTTTGCTTTTAACTGGTTTGTAGCACACAGACCTCGCTGCGTCTCCGGATCTTCACTTAGCTGTGAGAATGCCAGCCAATGCATCGAATTTTATAAATACATAAAATTAGTTGATCTAGGTTATGTCAGTTTAATTGCTGGGCCCACCTGGAGACCGAGTAAAACAGACACATCATAGTGTGTTTCATGTGTGCATATCTGTCCCTTTGCCAGGCGAGACTTACTGCAGGTGGAGCACCCCCATTCAAAAACTCCAAATCCAAAATTAATTTTTAAGCACTGACCCTAACATTCACTCCAAAAGAAGGTAACAGAATCCTGTTTTAATTGCAGTTAAAATAGCCACATCTCCTTGCTACTGGAAGAGGCTACAACCAGGATGAAGACGCATTCAGAGGTGAATTTTCCTTCATACAAACCATAAGCCCAAAGACTGGGGAACTGGGTTAAGGATTGTGTGTGTAAGCAGCAAGTGTGCTGTTTTCAGATTTTACCTTTTTGATACTGGAATCTAAAAAATTGTCCTAGTTATAATGCTAAATGTAATCCTCAATCAAATATGACATGCATGATACCCAGTAATTCACTGGACATATGTGCCTACTCCATATGGCCCTGCATATCAATTTTTAAAGACTTATTTATTTTTACTGCAAAGTCAGATATGTAGAGAGGAGGAGAGATAGAGAGGAAGATCTTCCAGCCACTGATTCAATCCACAAGTATCTGCAATGACCAGAGCTGCACTGATCCGAAGCACCTGCATGGGAGCCTCCTCCAGGTCTCCCATGCAGGTGCTGGGTCCCAAAGCTTTGGGCTGTACTTGACTGCTTCTGCAGGCCATAAGCAGGAAGCTGGATGGGAAGTTGGGGCTGCTGGGATTAGAACCGGCATCCATATGGGATCCTGGGTGTTCAAGGTGAGGATGTTAGCCACTAGACTACTGTGCTGGGCCCTGAATCTGCATAGCCTTTAGCAAGTGCTTCCCTGAAACCTAATGAATATGTATGACTTCCCTGAAAATGAACTGTGTAGCGTTATTTACTCTTTGTTTACTGAGAAAGCCAGGTTTTGTTATGTATTTATTTATTTATTTATTTATGGTATAACAAGATTACCTTGCTCCTGGCTTGTACAACTTGTTAAAACTCCTTCAACTTTCAGTGCAGATCATTGACTGTGTGTCTCTCTTGGCATACACATTAGGTGAGAACGTTCAGGAGTTTTGCTCAATTACAATGCAGTGCTGAAAAGTCTCAGATCTTAGAACATGTCATATTTCAAATTTTCAGATTACAGATCATCAGCCTATAAAGTTGAGTGGAAATATTCCAAATTTTTAAATATTGTAAAATGTAAAACACTTGCAGTCTCAAGCTTTTGGGATAAAGGCTACATATTGTTATAAACAAATGAACTTTATATATATAATAAATGATAGTCCTAGATGTTAACTTTCGCAGCAGTGAAAAGGAAAAAAAAATGCTTATTTGTGCATTGTGGATGAATGTTAGAGACTATCAAGAAAAAGAAAGAAGCCATGGAAGAATACATATTGTGTCTCTCAACTTATATGAAGTTCCATAGTTGGCAAAATGAACTTTTAATGACAAAGCTAGTAGTTCCATGGAGGTGTCTCTTTGGGGTAAGACATGGGAAGCTGTATAGGAACATGTGGAAACTCTCTGAGGTGAATGAAGTGCTTTACATCTTGATTGAGGTGATTGATACGCAAATACAAACTTTGTTTAGGGCCCAGCACAATAGCTTAGCAGCTTAAGTCCTCTCCTTGAAAGCACCAGGATCCCATATGGGCACTAGTTCTAATCCTGGCAGCCCCATTTCCCATCTAGCTCCCTGCTTGTGGCCTGGAAAGGTAGTCCAGGATGAGCCAAAGCTTTGGGACCCTGCACCTGCATGGGAGACTTGAAGAAGGCTCTGGGCTCCTGGTTTCATACTGTGGCCACTTGGGGAGTGAACCATCAGATAGAAGATCTTCCTTTCTGCCTCTCCTCCTCTCTGTATATCTGCCTTTAAAAATAATAAATAAATAAATAAATAAATAAACAAATATTTAAAATGAGCTATACACTTAAACTGAGTGCATTTTATTATATGCAATTTATATATTGATTAAGTTGATTGAAGAACGAACCTTGTCCGGTTGATTTTGTTAGGTAACTCTGGGTGAGTGTCACTGCTCTAAGGCAGTTGGGTACTATAAAAGGATTTGCTGTTTAGAAACATCTCAGAGTTGTGTGTGTAGGATGAGTCAAAGTTGGGAAATAGGGCTGTTAAAACAATCGAGGTAATTAAGTTCAAGTCTTACCAGTCAGCAAGAATATAATCAGGAGCGGTAGTTAGTAGGAGTTTTAGGACTAGATCTAGTAGGGACTGGAGTCTCCAACAGGGAAAATGTAAAAAAAAAAAAAAAAAGAAGTTGACTAGAGGATTTGATAAATGCATTAGTTTACTTTGTTATTTTAACTGGAAGAAGTGTTTCCTGGGAAAGAAAAGATTTGTTTCAGCTCACAAGTTTCTGTTCAGATTCAAGTTATTCTCAATATTCGGTTATTCTCGAGAAGCTGGTCATGACAGATGAAAACAAATGATGGTGTGGTGGGTCAGGAAGCACAGAGAAAGAGAACAGCTAGTTTCACTTGAACTCAAAATATTCATCTCTCCTGAGAACCACGCTTTCAAAGACATTTCACCAGGACCTAAATGGCTAACCACTGTCAGAATTCAAAAATCTTTATTCCCTAAGAGATTACACTTCATACGTTCAGGAGACACTCGTAAGGTGTATTATGGTGTGAGTTTCCAAACCCTGACATCTCAAAGAGCCAGGATTCTGTTCCTTCTCTTCTACCTCTTGGCTTTTAGTAGAGAGTGAATAGTGTGACTGAATAATACACACGCACAATTGTAATTAGTTGTGTGTGCTTATTTTCAATGTTTAATCAGTTTAAATTATTTATAAATTATTTTTTTGCAAATTTGTTTTATAATTTCCAAATTAGAATGCATGGATTGTAACTAGTATACCTAAATTCCTGTGGATTATATCATAGGTGGGTTTGCTAATTGTGATACTTCAGTAGAAATGGGCCCCTCGAGGCGAAATGGAATTAATTACCCTTCTCCAAATTTACTGAGCAGAAAGCCTTTAGGGAATTTATCCTGGTATCAGACAGGCTGGCATTCCCATTTCATTAGATTTTTATCATACAAAATTTTATTAAGTCTGAAAAGTTAAACTGCAACAATTTTGATCAACAGTCTACATAAAGAAATAGATTATGTGCCACAGAAGACTTGAAAGTGAAAAAAACTAGCCTTTTTTGGTCACATGATTTAAATTTTATTGAAATCATATCATGCTTATAAAAATCTAAAGTTATTTTTGATTTTATTTTTTAAAACTGTGTACACAGAGAGGGAGAAACCGATTCTGATTCAATAAATGGGGTAGCAGAGTAGGGGCATTTGAACTGACTACTGAAGGACAGGGAGATTTTTTGACACAAGTTAGTGACGCATGGAGGAGTCTTACAGAAGGGAAAAGAACAGTGCTTTAAAGTCAAGAATGCATAGGTTGCTCAGAAAGTGGTAAGAAATGTGGTATAGGTGCAAGTTCTATAAGGAGGACTAGAAATAATCAGAAGGATGACAGATGCAATGCTTAGGAAATTGACCTTTATTTCTGCAAAGCAGAAAATATATGTACAAAAGACTTCATGTGATTGTATTTCCATACTAACTCGTGCTATGTTTGATTGATGGTTTGGGAGCATGTGAGACAAGAGGCTGGAATAGAACATTCTGGGGCACCTTCTGGGTGGAGTGCATGAAACGTGAACAAATCCAGTGAGACCAGAGTTGAAGCGGGTGTGTATGCTCAAGCTTCAGATGACACGGGCCAGGCTCACCTGAGTTCTGTGTGTGAAGTTATTTTCTATCTTTGGCTCCTGGGAATATTTACTTTAAATCCTGGGATTTTATGTCTTGTTTTTTTACAAATTAAACTATTCATATTTTTATCTACCCCTACCTTAGGGCTTTTGAAATAATAATTAAACCTACAACATTCCAACATGGTTTATTTCCTTGTACTAGAATTTAACCCAAGGGAATAGCTTTATCTCTATATATTGCCCAGGAATCTGCATATCATTCTATCTACAGTTTAAACTTTTAATATGTTTTCTAGGTTGGAATAACACACCTCTGGCTGAGCACTCTGATGGTGAGTGAATGCTTCCTTTTTTAAAGATTTATTTAGTTTTATTGAAAAGTTAGATTGATTTTTACTGAAAAGTCAGAGAAGGAGTGGCAGAGAAAAAGATCGCCCATCTGCTGGTTCATTCCCCAAGTGGCCA